ATATATATATAGTTATTTATTTTTAGTTGAATATATTTAGTTAACAGTAGAGTTTTATAAATAATTATTAATTGCAGTTGTGATATTTAAAACTCATGAACACTTATCTCGAATTGCTTTAAATTTTTCTATTTTCATAACACCCTTATTATAACTTACTTTAATTATGTTTTATTTGATTTTTTTTCTAAATCATTAAAACTTTTTTAAAGAAAAAAAAAACAGCTGCACAAATTACATTTATTATTTGAGTTTTGTAACCGTGTCACCATGAAAACATTTTAATTTACACTGTGAGTGAAGTGAAATATTTTAATATTATGAATATGATATTCATCACACTAAGGCTAGATAGACTGCATTCAGTGTTTCAATGTTTTTTTTCCAGAAACAATGTGGTTATAAAGGTCTAATTTCTATTAAATAAGCTGCTGAACCTTTACACCCGTTGACTCAAAGAGCTGCAGCACCATCATGTGACTGAACAGAATAACTACATAATAATGTGTCATATTAATTACGTATACAGTGGCCTGCAAAGGTTTGGGCACCCCTGGGTCAAAATTTTGTTTACTGTTCTCCAGAAGACATGAAGTTAAAGATGAAACATTTCTTCAATATTTTAGGCAAGATTACTTTTTAGTTTAGTTTATTTGCACGTACATGTTTAGAAAATACAGGAAAAAGAAATCAAAAGATTGTGCAGGAGAGGTTAGAAGACAAAAATGGCTTATGAAGATACCTCCACTATTAAATAACAACAATTATACATCAAAAGAAAAAGACGAAAACAATCAATTGTTCCAGACTAAGAAGTATTAAGAGGTGTTAAAGATGTGTAATTTACAACAACAAAAAACACAAAAAAATCAATAAAGTGTTGAGAGTCTTTGCAAGTTAGAGTCCTTTTCATATGCTTTTTGAATAATGATAATGTAGATGATGATTGTAGAGACGGAATGAATCAATGGATATTGAGAATGTTAATATTGACATTTAATATGAGAATATTAAGATATGTGTGACAGTAAGGAAGACAAAGGTCCTCAGAGTGTCTTGTGGAATATGACTGTATGTTTGAGGAAAACTTAAAAATGTTCTGAAAAAATGCTCAGCAAATCATGATTGAGATGTACATATTTACACATGAATACACAAGTCTGGTTTATGTTCACATTAAAAATTGATAAAAAAAAAAAAAAGTTTATATTTTCTAAAGAGAGAAGGAGATGATTTGCATTTTTTTAAACAAAAAATTAACGTGTGGAACCTGAGTTATTTTGTATATATTTTTTATTTTTGTTAGAAAACTGTCACGAAGTCTGATTTCATTCATCTGAAACCATTTAGAGAGAGATGATAGCTCTTCATTTGCTTCTCGCATGAGTGTGCTAAAGTTTTCATGTGAAGGTACCAGACATGTATCTATGTATCCAGAAATGTTGTATTTTCATAATGTTTTATTCCACATTGTTTGAGTTACTTGAACTCTTTTTTAAGACCTCAACTCTTCCTGTCTGTCCCAATACCTGTACTACCATACTATATAGTACGGCAGAAAAAGATTTAGTATGTCCTGACACACAGTATGTAGCTTTTTTGGCTGCTCTGACCCACAATCTGCTGCAGCGAAAGATTCGTCACATCGACTGTCAGAAGTCTCAGTGATGGATGACAGTGCATTAGAGTGACTGATGACCAGTTGATTAGTAATAATAGGAATATAAATTGTTTAACTGAATAAAATTTTCAGAAATATAACCAAGAACAGATGGGCATGAGTATTAAATATCTATGAAAGTAATGTTTAGCCTCTGTCATTTTAGGATTGTGAATTTCATCTCTGGTGAGTTCGGTGAACAGCATTTTGTTTTATCTCCATGGAAACGGATATATGAGCAAGAGGGTTAAAGTTCGGGGCGTAATGTTGAGGTAGTAGTTTGTCCTGATTGTGTGCATACTGCATGTAACAGTACATCATTTTTAAGAACAACTGCACTACCTGCTAAAAGTAAAAAGAAAAAAGTATGCGATTCCAAACGCACCCTGAGCGTCCTCTTCTTCTTCAGCAGTGGTTTAATTGCAGCAACTGGAGAATAAGCTGCACCAGCTGTTTCATCAAACCATTGCAAGAATAAATTTTGGCATTGTATGTTTCTGCAAATCACTGATTTGCTACATTTGTACATTATTACACAGCAGTTATGTTAAAAGTTTACAAGTCAAGAACGATGTGGTTAACATGTGGTTAGGTTTAGACACAAACGTCACTTGGTGACGGTTAAGAAACGATCAAGGTTTGGCTTAAATTATCTGGTTCTGGAGGCACAGTCCCTGCAGGAAATGAACAAACACCCAGAATTAGGAGTGCAAAAGCAGCTGGTAACACAGTGATGGCTCTCTACAAAACACCCACATTTAGAGGATGAAAAACTGCAAGAAAAACAACAGTTTTTGCTGTTTGTTGGTCTCAAAGATCAGTCTACAGTGTTTGTAGCTTGGCAGGAATCTTGCCTAAATGTCACACCATCCATAGACTCACAAGTCAGTCTTTAGACGCTTTGCTTAACTAAAGACTGATGACTTTCTCCCTGATTTTGTGTTTAGATGGGCGGATACAATTTCAGAGTTTAAAAAAACTCCCTACGTTGCAGAACCAATAGTAAATCTGCAGGGCGGTCCTTCGGTGGCTCGCTGAACTCTTGTGCTCGTAAACATAGTCCGACTAGAAACACGTGTAGCGGTACAAAATGGCTCAGCCGTGCTCGCAGAAAACGCCGTCAAAGTTCAGTGGATGTTTGTCGCGTTCTCGCCAACTAAAAGAAACAAACATAATCTTTTACAAGGCCATGACTCATCCGTCCGGCCGGACTATAACGTTAGAGGGAATCGCCTTGTTGTTTACAAATACTTCCGGGTAGAAAACCAGCAGAGCTTTTAGCTATATATATATATATATATATAGCCTATATATCACATTTTTCACATCACTGTATCACCGTTTAGACTAATCCGATGTTTGTAAAGTCTATAAACACAATGATTGAACAAACATTACTATTTCTGTGTGCACGTTTAGCTGGGCTAACCGTTAGCTGTTAGCCCTGTTAGCCGTTAGCGGTGTCTGTAATAGGTAATAGCTCATTAAACGGTGCGTGAAAAAAATATCTTTTCCAGCGGATATCTTAGTTACAACATGATTGAGCTAGCAAAGCAGTTTTGTGTTGCTATGTGTGGTATTTATTCAGTTTTGGGAAATCACGATGTCTAGAAAGCATCAGTGGCTGCAGCTGACAGGGACAGCTAACACCAGCAGCAAAGCTAACAGGACGTCATCTGTTAAAAGCCTCCTGTTGTCGGATACGACATGAAACTACTCCAGTTAGCTCAATCATGTTGTAACTAAGACATCCGCTGGAAAAAATATTTTCTTCACGGATGAGCACACGTTTGATAAAACAGAGTTAAATCTCTCGGCATCCATTTTCAAGCTCTCTGTGTGTTTGTTTCCTTGCGGACGAGAAAAGGAGGAGCGCACATTTCCGAGAAGGAAATTTTCAAAAATGCAAGAGGAGTTGCTTTGTTGCCGGCCGTTTTCTCCGGTGTGTTAAACACACTTTAGAAAGGAGTGTCCCCAGACTATCAGAAGGTGGAGATCTCTGATTGTCTGGTGGCGAGACTACACCATCCACCATCTCCTCTGCCTCCAGATGACAAAGTCAGCTCATACACTACATCACTGTAGAGACGAAGACACAATGAAACATATCCATAGTTTGCAGAAACATTTTCTTCTGGTGCCTGGGCTGGTTTCATTCAACAGTGAATGGAAGTGCACAGATTCATTTGCATTTTCTCTGGGTTTAAATTTGCTCTACATTTTCTATGGAAACCTGGAGAGTGTGAGCTTGTGCGCACAATACCAGGATCCTGAAACCAGCTAAGTGGAATTAAGCCATCATTTATTTTATTATTCACACCTGTGTTTTTCTGTCTGTGACATGACAAAATGTCTGCCGAGGAAAAGGGGCACTGAGGCTGGTCTGGAGGATCATGGCAGATCATTAAGACACTTTGTTGGTTTTCAATTTAACTTTTCATCCATGTATCTGGACAACTTTGAAATAAGGTCAAGGGGTGTTGCTTAAATGAACTGTTTATTGCACCAGAACTCAAGTATCAACCAAACAAAGCAAAAAAGCTCCAGTCTAAACCTTCTTTCTACATTCCCAACTTCATTCCCCACAGCTCCCAAACATGTGAAAACCAGCTCAACAAACTCTGCCTGCGTTTATAGACTTTCACCTGCACTCAGGTGTTCACGATCAACAATCACACACCTGTCTCCTGTTCTCTCAGTCAGGTGGTGAGTAATCCCAGTGAGAATTATTTGATTCAAGCCTCTAAAAAGACATTTAATAAAGAATAATAATGGCATCTTCATATTCAGTGCATGAAGTGAGTTTTTTGACCAACAATTGATAGATCTTGTAACATTTTTGTGTACTAAACTTCTAATTTAAAGATAATTGTTTCAAGAAATATATGTTTCCGAAACACTCACTGCTTTCTTAGGCACCCTGATGCAGTATTTGTCCATCTTAAATCTGAAAATACAAAAACCTTCACTTTCCTTTAGCAACCTTTTTATTCTAATTTAATCACTGCACAAAATTGTTTATTTATTCAGCAATATAAGAAATAGACCAAACTTTTGAATGCATTTGGATAAAATACAGAATTTTTGAGGTAGCTATGAATGCAGAGCCTCCATATCGACTACATCGCTAAAGTTCGATTCAACTCTGCAGTTAGAAAACAGTGTTGAACAAACGACTGTCTGAAAAATACTGAACTTTATTGATTTCTGAATGACAACAGCTCTACAGACATGGCTTGAAGTGTCACACTTTATTTACAAAAATACTGAGAACCAAACAGCTGAGGGCGAGGAAGCATGATGGCGAAACAAGTTTTTATATAATTCCTATAGAACAGCAGCTAAAGGTTCCTGGTTGTATGTAACAGGAAGTGCGTTGATAACCGCATGGTACACCTCAGTGTTACTGGCTTCTTCTGAGCTAAGACCTTCGCCACAGCGCGCGTTGTTTCATCAGGCGTGTGTCCGAGACAATAGCAGTTTGGTTTCTGGGTTGATTTACTTTCTGCGGCGAGCGGCGGCTCCCTTCTTGCTGCTGTAATACGAACAAACAAAAAGGAAGATACACGTCAGAAATCTGGGGTGTGTTCAACAATTTGTAAATTCAACAAGGGACAGTTGATGGTTGTGCAGGCTGAGCTTCGGTTTCACACAAATTCACACTTCAGAGTTTAGTGCCACACTTAGAGGCTCCTTAGCAGCAGTCAAATCATATGAAGTGTTCGATCCTCCATTAAAAATACTAACAACTGTAGAGTCTGTCTGGATCATGTGGAAGTAAAGGTGGATATTTTGCATCATCTTGTATGCAACAGATTAGTCTTCAAACATGATGTCCGAAATCTCTTAAGAAAATGCCAAAATAGCGAAAACAAATCCACGGGAGATAAATGTTATGCGGTTTGAGGCGTCAAAAAAGTACGTTTAAATCTTTCAGTTAGTGCCTTATATTAGAGACGTTTGCTAACGGCATGTTAACTGACACAGAAAGCAGCATTAACACTATTTCTATCTCTATTTCTTGTTCTAGGATACTTTGTTGCTGAAGCTCAATGAGATGACATGAATAAGTTAGCAAGTTACTACTTACTGCTACTGCAATAGTAGTAGAAGTAACAGTTGCTTTTGTTTGTTTGACCTGCTGAAATCTTAGGGTAGCTAATGTAACTAACGTAGCTAACAAGAAGTTCCCGAACAATTAGCATTTCACTGCAACAGTCAATTTAGAAAGTGACTTATTTAATAGCAAAAAAGATATCTCACAAGGAATGAAAGAATGGGGATAATGTTTAAGTGCTCATAATTAAGTTTATCTTATAAAAAAATAATAATTACAGGGAGAAATAACAGTCTAGATCACAAAATAAAACTCAAAATACTTTTGTTTGATCATGAAAACTAAACCGACTTCTATTTTACATACAAAGGGATTTCCAGCCACATGCAAAATGGCAAAAATGCTTCATTTCCAGTCTACGACATTACAGTCAGACGTCTCTGTTGACATGTTGCAGTTCAAACAGAAATTAGTCACAAACTCATGCAGCACTTACCTGCACATACTGAATCATTACTGAGTCCAACAGTCACTAACTTAATGTGAATACCTTCACAGTTACTGCAGTAATGGCTCTCACACCAAGTAAAGAGGTCAGTATGAAGAGAAGGACCCTGACCTTTACACTGAAAAAGGATGCACCATTTTGGGTCATAATTGTACTCAATATTTTTTGTTTCTGTTAAATGATTACTAAAAAATGATTGTCTAAAAAAAGAAAACAGGCAGTGTTTGCTTCAACCTTGTACAATAAATTGACAAATTGAGCTGTTTATACATCTTTTTTCAGAGTAAACCAGGGAACGCTCCTCACATACTGACACTGAGTGACACCAGTAAATCCACAGTTATAATGAAATGTAAAATGTGTTGTTAATTATGGAAAACTAAATAATACACACAAAATGTCTGGGACATTACTGAAACCTTGTATCAGGAACAAAAGTAGAAATCTACATGCACAAATTGCTAAACCAAGCTAACGAGATAATAATGTTTTTTTTATTGCTTGATTTAGCAATTTATTTACATGGAATGCCATCTTATTCCTACTGCATGTCAGAAATAGATGTAGACATACAAAAGCAGCAGCTTGTTTTTTCTTTAAATTAATATAACAGCAGATTAGCGTTTTAGTCTACAAATGTCTTACCTTTTTATCATTCTAGCCATATTATCATATTCTGGCCATTACATTAGTTTGTTAGCTAGCTTGTAACACTTTCTAAACAGCATACAAAAAATGTTTGATTTAACTTTTAAAAACCCTGTTATTAACTCTAAATTATTCAGTTTAGTTATGTTAAGTTTCCTACGTTAGCCAGTTAGCCTAGCTGACTTTCATGATCAACCCAGCCACATTACGATTTACGATTGAACGATTTTATTGAACATGTTAAAAGAAACAAAAAGTCAAACAAAATAAAGCATACGACATAAAACAAAACAAAACAAGCAAAGCAGAATCAAATAATAAACAACTTAAATGATATTGGTCATGTTCAAAAGGGGTAAGAAGAATTAAAAAAAAACTTTTCTAGTCCTTACCATACCTGTCAGCTATTTATGTTTGGTAGCTAGCTTGCTACACTTTCTAAATGTCATAAAATGTTTGTTTTAACTTTTCAAACTTTATTATTAGCAGTAAACAAACATGTTAAGTTTTCTGTGTTAGCTAGTTTGCCTAGCTGACTTTCCATGATCAATCTAGCCACATAGCCGGTAGCTATATTAGCTTGTCAGCTAGCCCGCTAAAGTTTTGAAATGTTACACAATTAATGTTTTACCTTTTAGCTTTTAGAAACTCTATCATTAACTGTAAATAATTCAGTTTAGTTATTATTTAGTTAAGTTTTCAACGTTAGCCTAACTGACTTTCTATCATCAGTCTAACGTTAGCTGTGTTAGCTTGCCTGTAAAACTTTACTAATGTCACAAGATAAATGTTTGTTTTAATGTTTAGCTTTCAGAAATCCTATTATTAACTGTAAACAATATAGTTAAGTTGTTTCAAGTTTTTAATGTTAACGTTAGCCGAGCTGACTTTCCATGTTTAATCTATAGCCATATAACTGTAGTCTGCAGGTACATTAGCTTGTCAGCTCGCCTGTAAAACCTTCAGAATGGCAAAAGATGAATGTTTGCTTTAACTTTTAGCTTTTAGAAACCCAGTCAGTAAACAATTCAATTTAGTTAAGTTTTCCATGTTAGCTAGTTAGTCTAGCTGACTTTCAGTGATTAATTTAGCTATATTAGCTGGTCAGCTAGCCTGCTAAACTTTCAAAATGGCACAAGATTAATGGTTTAACTTTAAGAAACCCTATCATTAGTTCTAAGCATTTCAATTTAGTTAAGTTAAGAATTCCATGTAAGTTAGTCCAGTTGCCTTTAAATGATTGATTTAGCTGTATTAGCTTGCTAGCCTGCTAAACTTTGAATTAACCTTTGGCTTTTATTTTTAATGACTGAAATTTCAACCTGCTATATAAGCTATGGTGTCACAGACTTGATGACAAACTGCTGCTGCTGTATCTTTGGACAAACACGTGACATGACAACATGTATGACCTGTGAGGTGGATCAAGACTGGTCCACTGCCTCCATGTTGACTTTCAGACAAGACAAGTTTGTCTGGGCCTGGATTTGGGCCTAAACACTTACTGGTGGTGTTAGTGTGTTTGGTGTGTTTATGGCTTTTCTAGCTCACAAAAAAAGTGGATGCCAAAAGTTCAGATGTGGGCTGCTATCTTTGAAAGTACATTAGACAAAGGCTGAAAATTGTCTCCAGCATGAAAAACACTGCCTTGCTAATATCCAGCTCATATTTAATAAAATACTGTAAAAAAAATAAAAAAATAAAAATAAAAATAAAAAATTATATATTATATTAAGTGAAAAACATTAAATCCTCTGTCCCTACCAAGCAAGTGTTTTCTGCCATAAACTGACATAAGCTGTTCTGAGGACAGCTTATGTGTTGCTAAGGGAAGGGTTCACGCAGACATCAGTTGGAGTTAAGTTTATGAGATGACTGGATGTCTATGAACCCAGACATGACAGTACTTACTGCTTCTGTAACTCATCAATGCGGTTCCTGTACGTGAGCACCTGAAAGACGACACAGCAGCAGCTTTAACACATTTACCTCTGAGGAGAAGGACTTCCCCGTGCTCTCCTGTAACAGGCTCCGTGGGCTGAAAGCTGCAGACTGAGGCATCGTGGGAAACCAAGATGGGGTCATGCATATGATCAGTATTTAGATTTGACTGTCTCTGTAATGTTAGAGTGTACTGAGAGATATTATTTTTGTATGTTTGGGCTAAATTCTATGGGTGCTCAAGGTTGGGACTTTATGAGAGGAATAAACACTGTGTAACTTCCTGATTGGACTTATTGATTATGAATAATCTGATCATTGTTGCATTAAAACACCCGTTCTGGTTTCCCCTCCAAAAAGAAACAGTTTAGAGAGATTGGGCTTCAGCTCGGCTCTGTGACCTCAGCAAGGTCCGACTTACCTGTTCGACCGCTCGCTCACACACCTGACCAAAGCTCTGTGATGCTAAAACTAAAACATCCAGACCAGGACAGAATGTGGAGGAGCTCAGACACCCAGCACCACCTTTACAACTGAAGAGTTTGACTCCAAAATGACAGCTGTAATACACATTAGTATAAAACCAATACAACTTTGCAAAGGATGGAAGGTAACTTAACTGTTTTAAATAATAATTTACCCGTCAGTCTTCATTCATTCAGTTTAAGGTTGTTTAACTTATGTATGGAAGCTCAGAGGTGTCATTATTAGAAGAAATATTTTTACATTTTTCTTCTTAAAGGAGGCAACTTTTTGAAAACCTTTTCATAATCGGGAGAAAAACAACGTTTCTCGTGTTGACAACAAACACCTTCTAGTGATGTAAAGAAAAATGTTCTTTTATTAATTAAACATTGTGAATTATAATTGTTTCCTTATCTTTGAGTTAATGTACAGTAACTGTATTTTTTAAACAGTTAAAAAGTTCTGATCCAGAGCCAGCAGACACAAAAAGAAAAAGAAGTCAAGCTAATTGATATGACTCAAATTATTTTCAATTTGTTGAGGTGAATCCCAAAATTAAAGCTGTGGTGCCTCCTTAAATAAAACAGTAAAAAATATTTAACTCAGCTGATTCATAAACTTTTTCACAGCCGATGCTCAGATGTCATTTTTGGAAACAAACTCTTCACCTCCCTTCTTTAGTTTTTATTTCCTAGGTGGTGTGTTGTGTCCTTTCTCGGCCAGTGGAGGGCGCCCTGGTTCTTACCGACCTTCCGTCATGCTAACATGCAGCGAGCCTGAAGCCAGCAGGCAAAAGTCCCTGCTGCTCAGCTCTACTTACAATTTACTGAGCTCCTCCACTCTCTTACGCAGGGTTGTAACCTGGAGGGAATCAAAGAGCACATCGAGGGTTCAAACCCGGAGGTTTGCTCGGCCACACGCTCACCTCAGGCTCAACATCAACAACAACAATAGCTGGTACAGTTTGAGAAAAGTGTGATTTATGTTTTCTTTATCTGCTAGTTTTGTGTGTAGATCAGAGTGCACAAATCAGCGTACATACCGAGGACAAAGCTGTGGATAAATATGTTATTTGTGTGCAATTAAGGCTGAGTAACATTATGAAACCAGACAAAGTAAAACTTTTCTTTAAAACCTCATTTTGAGAAAACATATTTTTCAAAAAAATAAATAAAAATATTTTTTAAGTCAGTTTTGAATTTTGTCTGAACACAGGCAGCAGTTATTTCTAAATAAAAAGAACTTTAAAACTGTCAAAATCAAGATGTGAATCAGGAACAATTAAAATAAAATTTAAAAAAAAATAATTAAAAAAATGTGAATAAAAACATTAAATAAAATTACAAAATGTATCAATGCCAACTTTCTGTACTTGACATTTTTCAATACTTGATGGTAGAACTGTAGCATGAACACCAAAAAAAGTACTGAGTTGCTCTCTATACGATCAAAAATGAATATTAAATAAATAATTAGGTAAATAAAAAAATAGGTAAGTAATAATAAATAATAAGAACAAATTACTATTCATCCAAGTATTTAGTTTTGAGTCCCAGCTCTGTACATTATCAAAAAGGCTGTGAACCATCTCCATTAAAACTGGACCTGATTTATTTTGTGTGACGACCTTTGTGCTAAAATAATAATTCAAATCAAGTCAATCAAATTTGTAATGTCATTAAAAAACAACTATAACTAAATTAAATGTTTTTTTTTTCCTGGTCAGGATATTGAACCAAATGTATTTTCAAAATAGCACAGAGTAAACATATAGCAGGTGTCAAAAATTCCAAAAATTCAAAAGCATCATTTGTGGGATAAACTCCTCAATAAGCTCCTGTTTCAATGTAATAATAATAATAATAAATAAAGACTTTTTGTTTTACTTAATATCTGTAACGAGAAATTCAAATGTTATTAATCAGTTTTTTTCTAACCCAGGATTCTGCAACCAACAAATATATTTAAGAAAGTCACAAACACAAATAATCTTTCAGGTCTTAAAATCGACCCCAAACCTCTTCACGGTGTGATCCTAACCTCAGAGTGAGAAGAAGAATAAGAACCACACTGAACATCATTACCAGCCAGTAAACATCAAAGCAGCACATCATGATAAGTAACGACGACGAGGACGGGGGGAGTCTCACCTCATACTTCTGCCTCTTCAGTCTCTCCATGTGGTCGAACTTCTCAGACTCCAGCTGGGTCATCCATTCATGCAGCTCATTGATCTTATCCCTGCAGGAGACACAAGTAAGATAAATAAAACACGACGACTTTGAGAGCAGCTCAGTTAAGGTGAGTCAAGTTAGTTAAGTTTTTTGTGTTTGAGTCGTACCTCAGCTTGTCCTCATTCAGATGGTCGATGTTGAGTGCCTTGCGTCTGGCGGCCAGGATCTTCTTCTTCTTCTCTCTCTCAGTCTCTTTCTTGCCTCCTCTCTTCTGGTCAGCCTGTTCAGTGTGAGTGTGCAGACACAGGTTAACAGCAGTGGTGGAGGAGGTACGTGCATGGTGGAATGTAATGGAGTACATTTTACTCAAGTACTTGAGTACAATGTTAATGGACTTGAGGTAGAGCTAATTTGACCAGTTTTATATCCGTCAGGTGGCTTCATTTACTGTATGCTTTGCGTTACATTTGCGACCATATTACCCTAATCTGAAAAGTAAGTGATGGATGAATGAAGTGTATTAAAAAGTATAATATTTATCTGAAATGTAGTTGAATCTAAGGAAAAAGTAGCATAAAATGAAATGACTTAAGAACTGTACGTACAGTCCTTGAGTAAATTTACTGCTGCATTTATGACTGTGTGTACTGACTCTCTGCAGGTGGCTGCTGTAGTTGGAGCCCATGCTGGACAGAGCGGACTTCTTCTTTGCCTCCTCTTCTGCCTTCTTCTTGGCCTCGCTCTCCTCCCTGCACCGCCTCTCCTCCTGGTTCACACAAACGAATCAGAGTGAATCAAACATCTGATTATAGGGTCATATTTCAACAGTCAAAGAAGAAGAAAGATGAAACCACGAACCTCACGTCTGGCCTGGCGCTCCTTCTCCTTCTCAGCGCGGACCCTCTGTTGCTCGGCCCTCTCAGCGCGACGCTTCTCCTGCAGGACAGCAGCAAATACATCGTCAGCGCACTTTAGTCTACACAATTAAACCCAACACAGATAATAGATGAGAAGATTGCGACCGCTCTTTTGTTTCTATATGAAGCTACAGCCAGGTAGCTGGTCGTAATGACTGGAAAGAGGGGAAAACAGATTGCCTGGTTCTCTCCAAATGTAGCCTATGAAACCATAGTTTTACAAATTCTGTCTTGATACCGTTCAAAAACTGCAAAATGGTGAGTTTGTACGGTTTTAAGAAACCATAAAGTGTCGATCAGTGAGTTTTAGAGGAGCTGCTGGGTGGATTTTGTTACCTTTCGACAGAACCAATTTTCAGTCTTTATGCTAAGCTAAGCTAACGGGCTGCTGCTTCATTTGTACAGGATGAGAGTGGTATCCATCTTCTCATGTAACTCTTGGCAGGAAACTAACAAATATTTTTTAAGAATTTTAACAATACACCATTCACCATTTCTTAATGCTAGTACATATCTCTTGAAATAAACTGAGGGTCCCTCAAATCAGTTAATTTCACACTCAGAATTACTGTGCAAGCTTACACATTGTGCATTCCTTATTTCAACATTTCCTCTTAATGTTAAGTAGAAATGCTACTAATTGATGAATCTGGCATGTCCCAATACTGTTGATTCTGAGTGTGTCAGTAAAATGTTTCAGGTGTTTTTTTGGCCAAAATTAGCAATCTAGCTACCTAGCAATCCACTCATAGCGACTATAGCATTGTTATGTATTATTTTTGTTACCTTATTTGTTTATATTCAACATAAATCACAATCTTTCCCTAATCTTAACCAAAGTAGTTCATGGTGCCAAAGTCTTGCACAGATATCATCCCCAACCACCCAGCCAGCGATTACATTGCCACAAGACTGTAATTAAGAAATCAGTTTAGAAACATAATTTCTAGGAAACAGTGGTAGATATTTAGTGCTCTGTCCAGTCTCTAAGGATCAAATTCAGTTGTATTTTTCATTCTATTTTACCATAATATATGTGAGAGAGGTTTAATGGGGTTTTAAGGTGTGATGTTATTGGCTCTGGCTGAAGACTCACAATCCTCTCCTTGAGGGCGATCAGCTCCTCTTCCTCCTTCTTCCTGCACTCAAAGTGAGCATCGATGAGGCCCTGCAGCTCAATCAGATCCTTGTTCTGACGTTTCTTCTGGATGTCCTGCAGGGTCACAGACGCACAGGAAACAACCCTCAGCCAAACAGAAACACTTATGCACTTCAGGTGACAACACTTGTCACATCAGATCCACTTACATCAAAGTCCACTTTCTCACCATCGGGAATCTTTGGAGCGCTGGGCCTACAGGAGAGAGCGTTTTGGTTTTAAGTGCACAGGTGCTGATTATTATGTTGTGTCAATGCTGTATTAAATTCTTGTCAGCCAAACATGTTGGATGGAAATGTCTATGGAAATGATTTGAAGTCAAAATTACACAAGAGGGAAACTTACTTGAATTTGGGCTTCTCCTCTGCAGGTTAGGAAATGAAGAGGGGACAAGTACATGTCATGGGGTTAGAAACAAGGCAGATTATTTCACTTCTCTCAGGCATTGCATGGATTAAACTGTGTGGGTTTTAGGTCTATGTGACATGTTAGATTAAGATTAAAGCAATTGTGCCTCAGTGTTTGAGGGTTAGAACAACAGGTGAAAACAAATGAAAACTTCACATATAAAAAAAACAAACGGTTTTTAACATTATGAAGTGAATTGTGAATATCAGAGAGCAATCTTTAGGTGAATGCAGTTACAGTAACACAGTTATGTATTCTTACAAAATGTTCAGTTTTCTTATAAAGCCTCATTTATCTAAAAAAAAAGTCGCTTGAAGTTGTGACTTTTCTGTACCGTACCAACAGTATGTGTTATGTTTTTTGGCTTGACCCCAAAACCATTTTACACAAGCAAGACAAAGTCATTCCCCCATTTCTTCCTTGTCTTTTTACCCAGATTCTGGCGGCTCCATGCCATGCAGATGACGAGTGGCATAGCAAGAGTGAAAAGATGGGGTCGCTGCGCAGTAAAGCACGTGTTAGCATTTCATATTCTTTCACCCTTTTTCTCCACTAGTTTTCTCAAAAGTTGATCAATAATAAAATTCAGTGTATTAATGTGAATTTGGATTCCAAACTCTCAGTGCCAATTGGGCAGCGCTCCTGGATTTTGACAGACAGATAAAATTTAGACAGACATTTTGTGAACAGCAGGCGTTCCCCGAGTACAGACGTCAGACCTGGACACTGTGGTCCTTCCCAAAACCAGAATGACAGATTTCAGATTTGTCAGAAGTTTGTTTAAATCAACATACCTTCCTCTTCAACGGCCTCTGCATGCAGCAAGCATCCAAAACAGAAGCAGAATAGACAACATTGTTAGCAAGCGAACTGTACACTGCTTCAGCTAAATACAGTGAAACTGGGAAATTAATGCAGAGAGTCAGTGTGCTGCAGCTTCATGAATTATTCATTAGGCTACTGTAAATTCTCAAAAAATGGCCGAGTAATGTCAAAACGGCACAAATAAAGGCAATTTGCTTATAATGCGCATTACTTACGTTTGTACAGCAGCATTAACATAAATACCACTGATGCTTTTTCACGTTAGCTTTAAAGAAATTAAAAATAAAGAACTGGAAACGATTGGGAAACAAAGAGAGGCTAAAACATTACAAAATATATGTTAAAAACGGGAGGTTTTCAATAAAAGCAATATAGGACTGTCAAATAAAAATCTCACTGTAGTTTGAGGTAAATAAAGGCCAATATTTGAGAATTTGCATACAGTTTAATATTCAAACAGCTTAATAAAGTAGGATCCCTTTAACATTTATCCCTGACTTCACACGCAATTTCAAAAATGGCATGTGAAGTCGAGAAGTCAGGGTAGATTTCGGTAGACATGCATAATGCAATGATAGTTTTTAACATCAAATTTAGCAACAGTTATCAAGCTTTACACGGGTCTGGGTTTTGCATTAAATCATACATTTAGTGGAATTACATTTAAGTTCTCACCAAAATAGCATGTGAATGCAAAACAGACTTTCCCACTAGCATGTGAGCGTAATATAAGATGGTGTGACAGTGGTAAATTTAGAAAAAAGATAAAATCTGAGACACCATCTTTGTCTCGTTTTTATTGAAGTAATGTTTTTATTCATGCGTAGCAGTTATTCCCTTAAAAGAAGCAGTTCAGATATTTAATGTGATGGTTACCTTTATCTGATATCAAAACATTAATAAAGCAACCATGTACGCCAAATACGAGTACTTAGAGTACATGTGGTACAGTAGTATTTGGGGTTAGACTGATAAAAGAGGCCAATATTTATCTTCTTTTTTAATTTAAGCCCTCAGATATTCCCTTAGTTTGAAGTAGAAAGCCATTGTCCATTACGAATGCCAACACGTTGGCATACAGTATGCTAGACTAACTTGCTAATTACCTAGCACTCTATGTTTTTATGTATTTGTAAGTTTCCACTATTTATTTTTTTTTTACATTCACAGAAAGGTATATTTTCTTGTTAGACTTTGAATGTAATTGTTTACTTCACATGTAAAGTAAATTACGTTAGCTAAGACGCTAAACTTTTCACAACTGAGATTTTAATTTTTCTTAACTTGTGAATCTATAATTCTCAGACCCAAAGTGAAATCTATATAAATTTTAGATTTCTAAAGGGGTTTACAAATACTTAGAGTACATGTGGTACAGTAGTAAAAGTGCGGAAAGACTGATAATATTTGTCTTTTTAGAATTTGAGCCCTAAAATATTCCGTCTGTTTGCAGTAGATAGCTTTGTTTACTACGAATGGCAACATATTAGCATACAGTATCTCAAGTCAGTAATTAACAAGCACTCTCTGTATCTTTTTATGTATTTGTAAAATTTTAAGATTCACTTAAGACTTGTTGAAATGACTAAAAAGTATATATATTTTGTTGTTCTTTAGACTAATTCACATATAGAGTAAGTCACGTTAGCTAAGAAGCTAAAGTTTCAACAACTGAGATTTTCATTTCCCGGAACCTGTGAATCTGTTTTTCCCAGATTCAGAATGAAAATTATATAAATTTTAGATTTCTAATAAGGGTTCATACTGTAGAATGATAATATACTCTGATAATCTTAGGCTACTGTATCGTACTGTATGCTAACATGTTAGCTCAAACACATCAGGTAGATGCATCTACATAGTTTGTACCTCAGAATTAATCCCCCTAAGAACATATAGATTAATAAAGGAATGAATTAACTTTTACTTTTTAGCATTTTGAGAATGGAAAGCTGACGGAACAGATGCTAACATATATGTGGGGCAGGACTTTGGATCTTTGTATCAGCCTAAAACATGAGCTTTGGCTTTCGGCTTTCAAATATTAGTCATATATTAACTGTAAAATGCTTTAGGTACAATCATCTCAACATATGTTTATATAAGAAGTCATCACATCCCAACTTGTGCCCCTTTGAGTGCTGCATGAACAGGCTTTCTTTGACTTTGTTCAGAGGTGAAAGGAAGGTAACGTTAGCGTTAGCATTAGCAGACATGGTGTGGATCAGGATTAGTGGGGTCTGTCTGGCTGGCTGCAGCCTGTTGGAGCGCACCTGTCGCCTGGGAAAGGATGATAGAATACCCCTTCCCCCCTCCATGCCACATACCTTCAGGCTCAGGCTCAGGCTGCGGTTCTGGTTCTGGTTCTGGTTCTGGTTCTACCACTGGTTCTGGCTCTGGTTCTGGTTCTGGCTCTGGTTCTGGCTCTGGCTCTGGCTGTGCCTCTGGCTCTGGCTCTGGCTCTGGCTCAGGGGCCGCCTCAGGGGCCACCTCTACTTCCTGTACTACCTCCTCTTCTACAGCTACACAACATGCAGCCAGTCACCAGGGGAGAGGAAGGGCGGTGAGAGTGTTAATGAAAGCAGGAGAAAGGGGAAAGAGTTGGAGGTGATCGGGGGGTGAGTAAATGGAAAGGGGAGATGTGAGATATGAGGAGGTTCATTGCAGGGCAGTTTGGGGAAACTGCCACCGGATGGAGCTAAAGCATGTGAGACAGCAAGCAGTTAAAGGAGGGAAAAGGTCAGTCATTGATGGTCAGTCATTGATGGATGAAATATAATTGAATCCTGCGCTGCAACTCAGAGTAGTCGAAGACAAATAAAGACAAATTCTATCCTGACGCAATCAACTTTTCTAACCTGCGTCTTTTCATTAGTGTTAACCAGCATGCCAAAGTTCACGTGGAAGTACGAACACATGTTTTCAAAAATGACCGACAAATTAGTATAAGTGGCATAAGACTTATCATCTGCAGGCTGCATCTTACCATCGTATTCTTCACGTCCGTCCGAGAAAGAAAGGAGCAGAAGAACATTAAGAAAAGATCCCATTTGTACCCATTTTTGACAGAATACAAATTCAAAATGTGGGTACACTGGGGATCCATGCTAAGCAAACACAACACAGTCCTCCTGGGCTGACCAGAGCTAACAGACGGGACCTTTAAGTGGCATCAGACTTCACGAATGTCCTTTAATCTGAAGGACTGTTCAGCTCAGGAGGACTGTACAGTTGCAGGTGGTCATGCAGTGCTGCAGGACTTGTTGCCAACAGGCCAGTGTCGGCTTTTTTAGACTTTATAAGGTCAGATTTTGATCTCACACAACATAACTGACACTGTCCTGATGCCAACATTAGTGCTGCAACCACGCAACAGCGGTGAAATAATTTATGAGCAGATTCACTTTGAAGTTAAATTGCACAACTTGAATCTGGAGGGAGTCAAGCCAAACCTGAAAACATACGTATTTGTCCAGTGCAAATAACTTTCTACAGGGGATGGAAAATCAGTTAGGCAAGATTCAGAAATAATACTGGGTTTTAGCATGGAACTCCGGACTGTACCTGGATCTAATGTTTAGGGGATTGAATATTTTAAACGGGGGAAAATGGTGCTACTTACCCTCAACCTGATCACTGCAAGACAGAAGGCAAAGAAATTCTGATTTAGAGTTAAATCTAATCAAAATATCAGCCTAACAAATTCATGCGAGACCATGAATATAGTAGTTGGTTAAATAATTGAACCCAAAGTCCGCTTTGTGGCTTTTTCTAGAGCTTTCAGCTGCAAACACATGCTATTGAATTCTCTAGAGGTCAATAAACAGACCTTGACTTGATTATTTTGTCAAATCTATCACCATAAGTTTCAAATGTGTGAGTGAAAATGTGAATGGACTTACACTTCCTCGTCAGACATGGTGACAGTGGACTTTACAACCTGGAGGCAAAAGAGAAGAGAGGAACTTAAAGTCTGTCTGCAAGAAGCAAGTGAGCAGCCGGCTGTATTTATAGCTCAGGATTAAGTTGCAGATGTCTTAAATATCTGGTGCCGACCCCACCCTGACCAGACCCCACTCTGCTGGCCTTCACATATTTCACCCCCATCTCCAAAAACACAAAATATTTATGTAGAGTCATTTCTAAAAGTTTGTTCCTCATCATTTTTGAGGAATATTAATGAAATATTTTTACAAAACTCTTGTGTTCAAAACTCCAACTTTGCAGATCCAAATTGGTTTATAATAAGCGCTAAAGCTTTGGGTTGAAATCCGAGCCTCAGCCCTGAATCTGCATCTCTGATGGTAACTGAGAAGGGAGCCAAACATAGATTTATGCCAACGGTCTGTTTTCAACTGAGGGATCAGATTAATGTTTTAAAAAAGAGGGGGGTCATGGTAAAGGTCGGCCTCCTGCCCTGTCCCATCACTCTGCATCCAAGGCGTTAAAGACTTTTTATCTTTAGAAACACTCTCGACAGCTTTTAGCAAATTCCGTCACATCTCTAATCTCAGCTCACGCTCCAGTTCAGTGGTAAAAATCCAGACTGGATCTGATCTAACCCCCTGCAATGATAAACACACATGACCTGAATATATTAATAATTTTAATCTATCAGTGATTAAATGTCGGATTAGTTGCCCATTAGTCTCATTAGCGTGAGGCCACCATGAGTGCGTCCCGACATCACAACTATTTCCAACTGACAGCTGCACAGGTCCCAGATCTGGTTTCAGGGGACCTGATGCTGAAGATTGGGTTCCTTCCTCTGGACCACTACCCACAATTCCACCTTCATCACCTTATCTGGCTGTCTCGCTCTCACATGTTTCCTTCAATCACGTTCCTGAGGCTCCCTGCTGACTGAGGCCACTTTGCTGAGGAATTAAAATAAACCCTGAGAAGCAGCCATGAGGGTTAAAGGGCTAATGCTTGTATTTGCTCTTTGAGTCTCGTAAATTCCAAACTCAGATTTATGTTTACGCCATGATGTAATATTGGAAAAATCACTGGAGGTTCTTGGCTCCTGTTCAAGATGTTAAAGTGTTTATCCTCAAGCTATGTGCACTACAATGTACACACATGCCACGCCCAATTTACATCTTCACTACTGGACATCAGCAACAAGATAAAGCCAAGAAAACCTGCAATCCAAAGGGTACAGCAATGTTCTTGACTTAAAATATCAAGAATAACAACTCCATTCATCACCGCTGCTGTCATGATGTTACATAAGTCATTAGTATCATCTTCTGTCTCCTGAAGCGGAAAGCTGCTTCAAAGACTATAAGCCATCTGTAAATCCTTCAGGTATGAACCTCCGCCGGGTCACTGGACTCGAACCAAACCAGCATGACAACAATAACAAAGTCCTTTAAGTTAACGGCAGATGTCCTGCAAGAATGTCAGAACTTCTAAACCTCTGAGAGTTTCACATCTTAACATCAGCTGAAGGTTTTGCATGATTTCAAACACCAAAAAGTCATCAGATTTCTCATTTTGGAGATACAGATGTACCACAAGGTGTCAAAAATCCCACTGCTTATCAGCTTCTCAGGCGCACAGCTGCAATCAAACACCAACGCAAACTACATTTCATCACTGCTGAGCTCAAACATAAAAGCATCACACTCAGTGGGCTTCAAAGAGAGGCCTGTTCTCTTCTAACCCCTGACCTCTGCAGCAGCCTCTACTAGTCGTGGCAGTGATTTTAACACATGGGGACTCAGCTGTCCTCAGTTTGGGTGATGTTTGGGGGATCATTGCACTTGAGCTTCATCTCTTCCATTCACACACTCACTCTCTCTCCTCTTTCTTACCTCAGAAAAGCTGAAAGAAGCGAGCTCTCCGCTGGCCAAGACAGGCTGTAAGGTTCTGCAAACTTACCGCGCTGATTATGTCCTTCTGTTATAGTGACATCTGATCCGCTCGGCCTTCCCATTGGACGAGCAGTCGGCATGGAGGCGAGGCCTTGGCATGCGGTGGGGCAGGGTCCACCACTTCGGGACCCCCCCTCCCATCGCTGGCACTCAATAAGGAGATGGAAGGGTCGAATGCTAAGGAGGGAGGCTCAAGTTTGGAGAAGGGGGCAGCCAAGACGCCCCCCAGGTTGCTATTCTGGGTCAGCTGCATTAGGCAAGCAAATTTCATCTGAGACTAACAGGAGCGTTTGGACATCAGGGAAGCGAGGCAGGTGGTGATCCTGAACCTCTTAAAGAAGTAAACATAATGTACAGTCAAAGGAGGACAAACACCTGATTTATTTGTCTATCCAAGCTGTAAATCTTTCATGTTTATCCATCTTCTGTTTGTTTATTAGAGTCTCTGGTTTGCAAGAATCACATAGAGGGGCAAAAATAATATCCCCAGGAGTCACTGGATCTAAGTCAGTCAGTTTTAATCCATGCAGGTCCTAAAAACATGCAAAATCAACATCTAATGTCAGCTGAGATTCAACACAAACAGCTCATCCTCATGTCATCAAACTGTAGTTCCTCAGTCTGGGACAAATTAAAGGAAAAATAAGGAGTATTTGGTATAAATACAAACATTTTGTGCTGTACGTTTCCTCACTTAATCTGTAAAAGTAAAAATGTAAAGGTGTCTCATAGTTATGTAATATGCGACATCTTTGTTAATGAATCTTTGTAATTCATTTTTGTTTTTTCAAAATCCCCCATTGAAGACTTAGTATTAACCTTTTTTAATAAGTCAAGCTGTATTACATTGAAGTACAGTGTCAGGTTTTATTTCCAGTGTGATATTGTTTCAAAAATAACTACCTATCTGAGAGAGGATCAGTCTGATCTGTTGCTAATGTCTTTCAGCTGAGCTGCAAGTCTAAACAAGCTGCAGCATGAATCATTCAGCAGACTCCTCTGCTTGATTTATAAGCAGGATCTGTGATTTGGGTGTCAGTCTCAACTGTCTCACGGATCCCGAGTGAGCCTCTTTTTCCTGCAGGGGGCACTACAATGACAGCATAAAGAACAGAGAGTCTTGGTCACTCCTGTGGGGAGTGTCACATGTGTCAGAGAAACACAAATAGACAAACCTCAGGCCAAAGACCTCCTGTTCAATTCAGTTGTAGTTGGTTTACAGTTGAGCTGACAATCAGCTACGATCCAACTGCTGGGATGAAACTAACCACCACAACAGTTATATGGTGCATTGCACAGCACAGTGTAGCCAAATAAAACCTACTCTGCCAAACTGCACAAGGAATTCCCCACAAAGGAAAACACAACCTTTTCAGTGACCTCATGGATCCTTACACCTCCTGAAATACTCTTGGCATCCCAATAAGGACCCTCCGGACCTCAGACAGACATTAGAACCTGCTGTTCAACCCAGTCACCAGAATAAATGTTGGCATTAAACATTTCTGCAAACCATGGATACGTCACATTTCAACAATGCTGTGGTTAATGTGTGGTTTGTGGTTTAGGCACAAAAACCACATGGTTATATGTAAGTGCTATATCGTAGACAACTGGACTCACTTGCGTTTCCAGCTGCCTACGTCATCTTCCAGGAGAAAGAAAACTTAGCAGTGTCTCTGTAAAAACAGTTGCTTTTCCAACACATTCTCACTCCGACCTTGTCACATATCGACGTTTGATCGTGGACTTTCCACGTCCACATATGACATGCAAGCTACCCTGTTGGTTGTTGACATTCTGGGACAGTGTGTAAAATTCTGCCTGTTACATGCACTGCCTGTTTTCAAGATAAACTTCTGTTTTAACAGGAAATGTACAGCTTACATAGTCTCTTACAAAATTAACGCACTACGTTGATACAACGCCGCAATTTGACGTTTTTTTTCTTTCAACAACAGACACGTGGTTGGGTTTAGGAAAAAAGAACAGGGTTTGGCTTTACAATCTTATGTGAAGCAAACTGGGTGAAAGTCAGTGGTTGGACCCATGCACTACCCCTCCCGCCCGCCCTACTTGGATTTAACTTTAGTTGTGTTTCCACCGCGTTTCCTCCTGATGCCACCGGGCACCATTAAACAATAATGGCGACTGGCTGCCTATCATGCTAACATGAAAGGACAGCTTTTTTCACTGGTGTCTGACACCGGAAGTCACTGACCAAGCAGCGGTTTTCGACGGGTTTGGAGTGAGACCAGGTTGAAAGCATGGCACTATCCCTGTTGGAAAATACAGCATCGGCTCACTGAAAAACACCCATGTTTGACGATATAAAGTCACTGGAAAAAAGGCAATGACTTGCCAAAAAAGCATTACAAGCATTAGGGAAAAACATTAGGAACCTCCAAATACCTGTATAATCCCATGAAGGATCCATAAAACCCTACTTTTTGTTGGTATATGTACAAACAGTGTATGAGAACAACCTGAATGACCACAACCCCTTCACACCACATTACGTGATGGTGGGATGTAATGTGTAGAGAAATTACATGCCAGCACCACGTTAACAGTACCAATACAAAGTTAATTAGGGTCCTTCATTGTGGTGGACACTCAAATTTCCTGGTTTTATGATGCCTTGCAATGATTGGTGGTTAATATTTAGACACCATAGGTGGTATAAAGAGCAACAAAGTCTGTTTAGGGAAAAGGTCAGGTGGCATATGGGTCAAACAAACACAGGACTTTTGTTTGTGTTACACGTGAAACCAAAAGTCAGTTACTTGATGTCCTGCATGTCCTGTACATAAAAAACAAAACAGACTTTGTTTTCTTTCAGACAGAAAACACGATCTTTTGTTACGGTGCCTGAACCCAACAGTGCCACCTCCACACAATGCAGTGTTAAGAGACTGTGGTCATTTCACATTTCTCTCAATCAATACAATACCTCTACAGCTTTCAGCACCCTGAGGTTCCTCTTTCAAGGGTTGCATAAACCCTCTCAAGGATGCCCTGGAACTCTCTCAAGGACTCTCAGATCCACAATTTAAAAATCCCATTAAAGAGTCCTGGAACCCCTTCAAAGACATCTGGAATGTCATACCCAGCCCTGGAATCCTGTCAATGACCCTTGGTAATCCCCTTTGTAATCCTCCAATGCCATTACAACATCTCACAGAGATTGCTGCGTCTCATAGACTCACTGCAAACAGGGACGGTTTCTAATGTGAAACCAGTTTTAAGAGTACCCTGAAACTCACTATAAGAACCCTAAGAACCTCCTGAAGAACCCACAGAGTCCCCTCAGAAACTGTAAGAACACTCTAGGGAGCCTAATGCTGTGGTCATGTTATATGAGATGGATGGTAGAGATTTTAATGACTTGCAAGTGTTCACATCATCAGGATGGTTGTATGATTACAGATTTGGCTGTATGAAAATATGGTGTATTGACAATTAACACCATATCAATAAAATTAGGGGCTATTACAACAACAACAGACTTGATGTGAAGCATCTGTGATTGTTTTCTGCCACTTTTATATTATTAAGTCCCGAGTCAAATATATATCACAGCTTTTTGTTTCCCGAATGTGACAGGACTTGGATGTTGACTATTTATAAGTCACAAAATCATGATTACAATAACTACGATACGACACGAACGCAGCATTACAGCTCCCAGAAGAGCCAAAAAGACTGAACCCCTTTCATTACCGTAATTACAGTTTACAGCTTGTAAATGCCGTGCACGGTAGTCTGCAATAGCCTGCATCTGTTTTGGACGTTCAAGGATGGCGTGCATTGTGACTTTTTAAAATGCAATTCCCTTTTTGCAGGAAATGTACAGTTTCTGATTGTTTCGCGCTTAAATCTTTTTCAAAATAAATTTACGACGTACGTAAAACAGTTTGTTTTTAGGTTTATTTTCTTAAGGTTAGCCAAGAAAAGGTCTATGTTTAGGTTTAGAAAAAAATAATGGTCTGGCTTTTAAAAGTACAGTTGTTACTAACATAATGTCACGTCACATGACATATGCCATGTGACATACATCACTAGCATAGCATGGGTCATAACACCACAGACTACCCTTCAGGATTCTTCCCAGGAGACGTATGTTCGGAACCCTGTGAACAACAGAACATTGAGTCTTTTTAAGGTACGTCCTCGCCATGTCTCTTTTCCTAAACCTAATCACAATAACTTTACTTGCCTGAACTTACCTCTGTAACTTTACACTGACAACATAACTTTACCTTAAGGATGTAACGTCATTCATTCTTGGGGCACTAATTCATAAGATATCATACAGACCGTTCGAACATCAGATTGCTTCAGTGTTTACCGATGAAGATGTCCTAACCTGCCCCGTGCTTCAGTAAACAAGCTAAGTGACATAGTAAACAAGCTAACTGACGTGCTGACCGTATGAATAACTGCTTGCCCTGGCTTTATTTTGGCAAAGCTCAGCACGCCTCCTATCCATTTTCAGAGCATCAGCAAGCCGTTGCGTAGGCTCGATACCCTCAATCAATGTTGATGTTGCTCGTAGTCTATCAGGACAAGTTTTTGCACTTCACTCGCCAGAGTTTGCTGGCTTGCTGTATGTTAGGAGGAGGGATGAGAACCTTGCAACACTTTGAACTCCTTTAGGACCTTTGAAATCACATCAGTGATGACTGATGCTAAATTCTGGAACTTTAAATAGGACTCAAGAACTCCTTAAGTCCCTGACAGCACCTTCAAGACTGTTTAGAACCCACTCTGATATCCCTGCAACTCCTTGAAGGACCCCCAACCACCACCATGAACCCCGGAATGTCCACCTCTAAAGCACCTCTAAAATCTCTCCAGAGTTTTTACAACTCAGATGTTTGGGTGACTAGAAATTCCAAATCCCATCAAGAACCCCTGAATTATTTCAACAGAATTCAAATCACGAGAAGTTAAATTCTTTCTCATTTTTTGGAGCCCTCTACCGGGTCCATAGTACATCCGCCTAGGACCCCTGGGTGGCCCTCGGACCCCACTTTTAGAGCCCTGAGGTGGTGAAACCTAAGGTCCTGTGGCCTGTCGGTGCTGCGTCTCGCCTCTCTCCACTGTCACTCTGAGCAGCTCACAGGGCTCAGGATTTATTTTTGGACTGCCATGGCGTCTGTTCCTTCCATTTGTAGGAAGGGGGGTCGAGTTGGGCTCAACATGAACCTGCCGCTCTGACACTCCGGGCTGGGACAAGCAGGCAGCAGCCGGCCGGCCGCCCCCCGAGCAGCAGTCGCACAGGTAAACACGCCATAATTACACCTTTTATTCTCCAGATAGAGCGCAGGGAAGCTGTTAGCAGTGTTGGGGAGGCTGTTGCCGTCGAATGCAGAGTCCCCCCACCTCTGCAGCCGGAGATCTGACATGTGTTCGGACAGCTCAGGGTGGTTTTTTTTTGCACCAGCAGGGCTGAGCTAAGTGTTAGCCTCGCACTCTTTCTACTCCCTGTGGCTTCAAATCACACCCTGCCCTGTCATTTATCTGCAGTGAGGCATGACTGAATCATGAGCACATTTCAGCTTTGAGTTGTAATCTTCCTGCTGTGTAATTATGGGGAATAAAGTATGATATTCTACATTGAACCTGAATCCATGTTCTCTCCTGTTCCGTCAAGGGGAACCTGCCTGCAGCACTGCCTTGAACATCTGCAACAAGTTTTTACCTGGTACGTTCTGTCTTTTTGCATCTAAACTCTAAAACCGTTTGCTGTGTTTGTGTGTGTGAAGCCTCATAACTTCACCGAATGACTTTTTGGGGTGGATTCATTTACTTAAGGAGGCCATTGTGGACCAACTTGGTTTTTTATTACACGGCTATTATTACCCTTTCCTCTTTTGAACTTGCATCCTGAAGGCGCTCCAAATACCGAACCTACTAGAGCCTTAAAAGGAGGAGCGAGCTCTCATGTGTCAGACAGGCAGCAGGTTCAGGGTGGGAGGTGGGAGATAGGAGCGGGTGGGGGCGGCTTAAAAACACAAGCAGCTCTGGCCTACATTTCACCGAGGTGACACACATAACAAACTGAGGATATAAAACAGTTGTTTTTATACAGTTATCGTCATAAACTTATCTGACTCCTATTTTAAGATCAGGCTGACAGCTGTGATGTCACATGACTCTTGAGCTGTTTTATTTTACTTTTTGGGGAAATAGAAATAAAAAAAAAAATTCATCCTTTTATGTTAAATACTTGTCCTCTCGTGTGATTGGGTGTCCCCAGTGACAACATATTTCTGACGCCCTATCCTGCGTCGTCAAGCTGTGATGTCATGAGGTCAGATACCCTGCATTCACTTTCACCCCTCAGCAGATATATTTACACATCTATATGTGTATTTAAGTGTGAAGAGACACGAAAGGATCCTGACAAAGCTGAAAAATAAAACGGTTAACTGTAACCTCACAAGAAGCCATAAGTTCTCCGATATTTAATATCGAACATTTGATGTAGATCAAATATCGCCTCTTTTAAAACAGGCCGCTCTTGTAAATAAGAATTTGATCCTAATGACTTGTCTGGTTATGTTAAGGTTAAGAGGAGACATCTCAGGTGAATAGGATGAAACTTTAAACTAATACATGCCACTATGAAGCTTCATAAATATGCACTGATTTGCCTACATATCCAGAACAGAAAACCAAACACTGATTAAAGTCAAGTTCAAAATAGTTTCATTTTGTTGACGTATCAGAGCCAAATATTTTTACAGACGGGATTTTGGGTATTTCCTTTAATCACTCCATAAATGAGAAAATAGTGTCAACGGCCATAAAAAATCCAATTTTGACAGTTTTTTGGAATATAATGTTATAAATCAGGCTGTCGTATGATATCTGTAAAAACCTTAAGAAATAATGTAAAGTTTGGTATGTAAGTGCTACTGAAGTTCAGACAGCCTTTTAAGATAAATGATGTAAAATTCCATACATTTAATAACTTCCATTGACAATTAATTTGTGTACTACAAGTTTTCTGAAACTTTATGCAAACAATGACTTTTCTAATTAACAACAACATTTGCGTACATTTCCAGAGCAAAAATCTGAACCAAAATGAAACCTAAATGTGTATTTTGAACATTTTCTTTCCACTTGTTTTAAAGAAGACATGCATGGAAGAAAAATAGCCCAAAAATCGCGAAATTAACCAGTGCATTAAAAATATATACTTCCATTTGGGGTGTCTTGCCTTAGATAAAAATAAAATAAGAACAAGAATATCTTAAGTTAAGGAATATGAGGCTAAGGATGGAGATAACCAAAGAAATACTTGCTAGATTTACATGAAATTAACTATGAAATATGTTACTTATTTTGACCCTGAGTTTTCCACATGTATGCAAGAAATATTAAAATCTAGATTTTGATATCTTAACGATCATTAGCCATTTGTTATTTTCAAGACATTTTGCTTTGGATGTTCCTGGTCTCCAGAGGATAATCTGACCTCCTTCCCTTTCCTCTAGTGCCATCATTAGGAGACATTTCCCACTTTTATACAGGAAACATTCAAATAAAAAAAGGCAAACATTTCCTAATCATAGTCCAGCTCCCCAGTGGATGAACCATTTTGTTTTTAATGAGCACATGAGCTTTCTCTCAGCACAAACTTTATATTTTAAGCTCCTCCACTGCTAACGCTATAAGAACAGCTGAATCATCAATATGTTTTTTTATTCTGTTGGACGTTTTATTAACTTCCAACTGTGTCAGTCGTGTTAAACCTGCAAAACGAGTCCCATAATTTGACATTTTCTTATTGTTTGTTGAACCCCGCCACCCTAAATTAAACCTTAGACCTTTATGATTAATTTTGAACACTGATCATAAGTGAACCATAAGTGAACCATGATGTTGCTGCAACACCTGTCAGGACAAAATCCTCAGAGCCAAATTTAAGATCAGACATGAAAACATAAGCAGCCATATTGACCTGATGCTGCACTCATGCACACACTTTATGCAACTGCAGTTGATGCTGAAATATAATCTCAGTTACTATACACTCGTCATACACAGCGCTCCTCTTACGTAGAGTTTGTTTTTGTGATGCTCTGGAGGCAGCTGAGGCTGCAGAGGCTCCATCTGATCTGCATCACGGCTCTCTGATTTACTGTTTTCGGGAAAGTGATGCAGCCTGTAAAAAGCCGGGAGTCTTAAAAAAGGAAGCAGATGATTGGCCGAGACTCTTCTCTGCCTTCAAACTAAATTAGGACAGAGTAAAAAGCTCCCAGGATCAGCTGTGAGGCTGTAACATCATCCAGGAAGACTTCAGCTCAATTCTCCTGCTGCTTTTACAGCTCGCAGCGATGATCTCTGGGTTTTAAAAACAGCACTCACACAAACAGGATCGGTCATTCTCACTGCATCTGTTTGGAGTTACGGATGTTTTAGAACTGCATATAAAACCTCTTAAACCCAAATTACTGACTTTTATGTTGTGTTCTTTGTAGGCAGAGAACATTTTGTCTTTCTTTGTATTTGTGCTTTTACTGCATTTATATTTATATGCTCAATTTGAAAATTTGAAAATAAAAAAAGTATTTTCATCCTATTTATATTCTGTTAAACTCTGATCTATACATTCTGTTTAATGTTTTGATAATACTTTATAATAACCATCATTAACAATTGGTAAACTGATTAATTAAACTTTAGTTAAAAGTTATTTTACTGTTAACGAGTGATTAAATGATAATTATTAACATGTTCTATAGTAATGCAACAATTTATATTATTTTAACAGTTTGTTGTTGCATGCATTATAAATACTGAATACTATACTGTATACTAGATCAAATATTTGTTATTGATTACCAAATGATTCGTAAACCTTTAAGCAATTGTTTGTAAAACATTCTGAAACATCTATAAACATTACTTACATAGATGCACCAGGTATTTGTGACACTTTTTTACTGGTTAATAACTGTGTGTTGACAATTTAAATACAATTATGAAGCTGCAACTGATGATTATAACACCCTGTTAAATGGTTAATACTGTATATATAAACACTGCTACATAATGGCTGTCCAATTAATGTTTATAGATGGTTTACAAACCAATTATTATCCATTCACAAAGTGTTATAAATATCAATCTATGTGATGTTCTTACAATTTCTTAAAGGTTTAAATATCATTTGGTAATCATTAATAAATTCTCAATAGAGTATATAAAATGTTATAACATGTGCAACTAGTTAAAATTACATATATTATAGTACAATTAATAATAAGTAAACATGATAATTATCATTTCACTGTTTGTTAGAAGTAGCATAACTATTACCAAAAGTTTAATTAACTATCTGTATAACATTTACTGATAATGGTTATAGTAAAGGGTTAACAGTGTTTCTTTTTGTAAAGCACTTCATGACTTATTTGCTTGCTTCAGTGTTTACCGATGAACTTACATGTTAGATGAACAGTTCTTACTTTAATTGAATTTAAGTACATGCTTAAGCCAAAGCAGTTTGGTACATTACTTTCAAACTACTTTCTTTTAACAACTCAGATCCCTCATAGAGAATAAAGATTTTGCTACATCTAAAATTTTGCTGGTTGTGGAGCAAAGATATGAGGTTTGTCCTGCAGGTGGCGCTGGAGAAAAGATCATGAACTTAACAAAGGGTTCATCCTCTGTGGAGCAGGAATGTCATCAGGAAATTTCATTCTGATATTTCTTATGTAGTCAAGGACATTTTGGCCAAATGGTGACACTACAAGAAAGTTCAAAGGGTCACTAAAATCATTAGGATTCATCCTCTGGTGACCATGAATCTCCACCAGTGATTTAATGGAAATTCAGCCAGTTGTTAAAATATTTTGCTCAGGACCACAGTGGACTTTTCCTTAACTCAACATACTAATGAGACCCAACCATGTTTCTTTTCCTAAACCAAACCTATGTAACCTAACTTTCCTTATCCTAACCAACATAACTTAGGCAAGTTAAGTTACGTAACGTAACTTAACTTGCCTAAACCCGCCCTCTGTAACTTTACAAAGCCCAACTACATTTCTTTTCCTGAACCTAACCAATGTAACTTTAATTTCCTTAACCTAACATACATAATTTTAGTTGCCTAAACCCAATCCACTTAACGTAACAACGCCCAGCCATATTTCTTTTTCCTAAACTCAAGCTATGTAATTTTACTTATGTTGCAATATTAGTGAGCATTTCAGATGTAAAAGGTTATAAAGTTGTGTTTAGGCAAAAATAGTTTGATAAAGAGGACACTGCAAAAAGTAGAAAATGATTTAATTTATTTAAGAAAAGGGGTTATAAACACTTACAATCAGAAATCTCAGTACATGGATATTAAAGGTGAAAAACATCTGCAGTAGTACAGAGACAGAGCTGATAAAAACACACAGGAAGTTGTTTGATTGTGTTGATTGATAAAGGTTGTTGAGATGTTACAGTTACCTTCTTCTACGTGGCTGCACTAAATAATCTGAGACATGATAAACTCGGTTTTCATACTTTTAGTGTTAATATTGACAAAATGTGTCTCTGCGGAGCTCTGTATGTAAACTTTTACTATTCTAAAGACTTAAGTTTCCCAACACACCATCATACGTGGACAAACCAGACGTTAGGAATGGTTCACCTAAACACTGTTGTCGAGAAGAATACAGAAACTTTAAAGCTCACAGTCAGATATATACATAATAACAGAAACAGAATGTCAGAAAAAACAAAAGCAAGGAGGAAAGTGAACAAATATAGACATTTGATGATAAAATCTTTTGGACTTGAACTGTTGGTTTGTATTCTTCATCTGAGAGAGTCGGAAAAAGTGATTTATTGGATATAAATGAAATGAAATGACGTGTGGAATGGCTGCTTCTGTTCGACCTGAAGAGACGACACCTCCTCAGTAATTATCATGATATAAATCTGCAAAAGACACAAAAATAAAAGGTTAAATATGAATATATCATAAAATGGTCCACGTCAATTTAATTAACTTTATTTATTTTGGAAAGTTCTAACACCTTTAGGTTGAACAAACAGGATGGATGCATTGGCAGCTGTAACAGGATGTTGAGCCGATCACATTAAGGGATATTTCTTTACTGCAACACAGTGGGGTATCGGTTAAGGATACACAGGATGTTTGATTTAACAGGAGGAAAAGTGGGTCAGCATTTTAAAAAGTGATGATTCGAGTGGTTGGATTTTCTATTTTTTGGCTCCTGTTCAGGATGAAATCACTGCTAAAGATTCACAGATATCTAAGAAGTTAAAGTCTTTCATATGATTCAGAACTGACAATAGACCGATCTGATCAAAATCAGGCTGCAAGGCTGGTTTGCACTGCGCCAGAGAAAAAGCTCACAAAGACATTTTAAACCTCTTGAAACTATATTAAAAAAAACTTATGGTACAAGTGCAGGAATCTTGGAAACAAAAATGAAGTTCAGTTCTTAGGTTTTAGTCTCAGATAGTAAGAAATGTGAACTTTCTGAACTTTTAACTTGACAAATGCTTTGATCATAACTTGCTATGAATGTCCCATTTCTAACAGTTTTTGTTTTGTTTTCTCCACAGGGTGCTGATGCGCTCATGGCTGTCGCTTATGGTACTGTCACCCAGCTGGGCCTGCTTTCCCAGCAGTACCCTCCCCCCCTGCTGCCCAAGCCTGGAAAAGACAATGTTCGGCTTCAGAAGCTCCTCAAAAGAACTGCTAAGAAAAAGGCCTCCGCTCAAGCATCGCAGTCCGCTGCACCTTTCCGCTCCAGCCTTTCCCCTGTGAACGAAGCAAGTCCTGACCTTGAGCACAGTGACCACTCCACCCCTCCTAAGACTCCAGAGACACCGTTCAGCCTCTACAATGTTCAGCAGCCTCCACGGTTCACCATCAGGCCGCTGTATCAACATGTGGCGTCCCCTTACCCACAGCGTGCAGCTTACGGCAAAGCAGCGAGGTTCTCACCTCAGACAGTGGCGACACCGTCATATTCTTACTCACAGCACGTTACCATAGTTTCTTCATATTCTGCATCAACCCACCTTCCTGGAGTCTCAACAGCTCCAGGGCCAGTTGCCGAGCTGGAGGTGCCCAAAATACCTCTGCCAGCCTCCTCTGTACCTGAGACAACAACTCCAGCTGCTGAAGGGAAAATGCCAGCTTTTAGCACATTTGCTGAAACTCATGTTGACCTAAGACCTACTGCTGCTGCAGGAACCCTACAGCCAAAAGGTCCAGGTCCAACTCCTTATATAGCAACTGGGGGTCAAGCTGTGATTCGTCCTCTCACTGTGTTGACCACGCTCAAATGCAAAAGTCCACGTCCAACATTCAAAGCAACGGAACCTTCAAGATCGCCCAAACCGATGTTTGATGTTCCTCAAATTAGGATGTACACGGCAACCACATCGTACTACGAGTCATCCAGGACCCCACCAGTGTATGACACAGCTGGATTAACTGCTATTGGCAGCGCAGTACCTCAAAGTAAAGATCTGACTTCAACATCTGAGGTTAAAAGAGGTGCAACACCAACGGCTCTGCCTCCTTTACTGGGCACAGACCCCCAGAGGAAAACACCAACCCCAGAACCTAAAAGAGGCACTACACCAACAGCAGAGATTATTACAAGCATAACTCCAACAGCTGAAAAGAAAAGAGCCACTCCAACGTCTGAAATCAAAAGGGCTACCCCAACACCTGAAATGAAAAGAGCTACCCCAACATCTGAAATCAAAAGAGGTACCCCAACATCTGAAAGCCAAGTTACACCAACTTTTGAGTTTCAAACATCAAGAACACCAACAGGACGACCTAAAACCCCGGCATACTATATGACTCGGGCTGCAACACCTGTCTTTGAAGTCTCAAAACCCAATCCTCTCTTGTTTGCTGTGTCACCAATCACAGTAGAGCCAGAGAGGTCAAGAACACCTGAACCTGCTGAGACGATACTGAATGGGGACATTCATTTGGACATGACACCTCCAGTTAAACCAATCCAACAAACAATTACAAAGTCAAAATCAGAGCCTGATCTGACAAGACAAACTGCTCCAGCAGGCTCTCAAAGACCTAAAAGTCCAATGTCTGAGCTACAGACACCAACGGTGACTTCTTACGGCAATCAGAGGCCCAAGACTCCAACATATGAGGCATCCCGACTTATGACCACATCACCTGGTTATAGAAGACCAAAGACACCTACATATGGGACATCACCTTCCGGTGTATCACCTGTAGCCTTTCAGAAACCTAAAACTCCGACCCAAGTGGCTCAAAAACCAAAGTCTGGCTACCGTGGATTGACACCGGCTGAATATGCTGCTTACGGTGGAATCAGAACTTACACTCCAGCATTTGCTGTCTCCGGTTCTAAGCTGCAAACTGAGGTGGAGGTTAAAACTTCAAAAGAGGAACCAGCAGAACGTAAAACACCTAGCCAAGAACCATCTGTGAAGGTACAATCTATGTCTGAGGTGTCTAAAGCCAAAGAGACCCCCAAAGATGTAGATAAACCCCACGTGAGAGATGAGACTGGCACCACCCCCTTGATCCCTGCTATTATTGTTTCACAGGCATCTGACACCGCAGGAACAACACAAAAGACAAGTTCAGTATCAAGTCAGCGTGCAGCCAAACAAGAAATAACAGTGATTCAAGAAACACCAAAGGCTAAACCTCCAACAGCTGAGGAGAAAACTCCTGTGAAACCGAAGGTGGAAGCACAAATTCAAGAAGCTGCCAAACCAACAACTCCTTCTGAAGCCAAACACCCTCTGCCTAAAGGGGACGACCAGGATCCTCTGAAGGCAGTGAGAAAACTTTTAGGCAAAGATAAAGTGCAGAAATCTGCAACTCAGACAAAAGCTGACATCTCAGACAAAAAAGAGCCAGCGAAACCTGTAGCTGCCGTCAAGACTAAGGTCGAAGACTTTAAGGCAGCTGAGCCAACAGGAAGTGAAGACAAAGGAGAAGAAAAGAAAGCAGAACCAGACTCAGCAGTTAAATCTGTACCTGAAAAAAAGGAAGCTGAGGAAGCCCTCCCAGAAGCTGAGCCCCTTCTTAAAGTCATACAAAAGCCAAAGGGATTGAAATCCAAAGTCAGTGGTTGGTCCCGACTCAAGAAGCACATGGTGGTGGAGCAGGAGGAGCCCAAATTTCCAGAGGTAGGCCCTCAGAAGGAGGCCACTGGGCAGGACCAGAGCGAGGCGAAAAAGGTTGACGAGAAGGCTGCTGACAAAACTGGCACTCAGGACGAGAACCAAACCAAAGGCGCCCCCATAGCAACAAAGATGTGGGACGCCGTCCTCTTCCAAATGTTTTCCTCTAAAGAGAACATCATGCACCAGATCGAGTTAAACAAAAGCGAGGAGGAGAAGAAGAAGGACAAAGAGGGGAAGGACGAGTCGAAAGAGATACCTTCATTCGCTTTCCGGCTGCCTGTGCTGCTTTTTAGTCCAAAGTTTGATGCTAAAAAGCTTAGAGAGGCGGCGTCGAGGCCTGTGACAAAAATTTCAACTGTTTTTGAAATGGGTCTGATTGGGCGGAAAGGTAAAGACGAGGAACCAAAAGACTTTAATAGAACAGCAAAGGGGTTCGCTGCTACTTAAGCTAATATAATAAAGTGCCAGGATGAAAATGTGAAAAACAAACAAAAAAAAGTTCTGATATGTTTTATGTACAGGTGCAGAAATCTTAGTCTTTGTGTTAAACAAATGACGTTTGTGTTGTAGAAAAGTCGGCTCTGAACTTTATACTTGACAAATGCTTTGTGTTGCATTCGTGTGACTGGTCGTCTGGATGTTAAATGTTTGTATTTGTGAATTATCTGGAAAAAGAGAGAGAGCTACATTTGTCTTAAAGTCATTCAGACGTCACATCAGATTAAAGTGTTTATGTTTTCAGTAAATTTGAAGCTTCTCATTTGTTCCTTTCATCACACGTTCACAATTAAACATAGATCAAGTTAGAGATTTGAAAATATCTGGTTATTGTACAGAAAATGATCTGTGAAACAGAGACTGATCATTGATACACAGTAGTTCAACCAAGATTGAACTTTTAGTTAAAAAAAATCAAATAGTGAATTATTAATATTTTATTTATAATATCTGTATTCATAATAGGCAAAACAAGTTTAAAATCTTTTATAAAGTTAATGATTTTAAGACAAATTATTCCTGTTATTCCTAAATTCTGTTTTATCTTCAGTGATTATTCAAATATCCAATTTTTTTTTCAAAATGGTGCTACTTGCCTCAGGGTAAACACTTCGTACGTAGAGTATTACATGATTTTTGAAAGTTTTGATAGACTGTAGGTATTTGTTTTGTGATTTAACTTTCTTCAAGTCACAATGAAATGACATTTTAAAAATTAATTTGACCTTCAGCTTGCTCAATCAGGGTGATAATGCAGTGACGGATCAATTAAAAGAATGCACCAATCGGATATCATTTAAACCGTTTTCTCATACAAACTCTCAACAATGTCTGCAGAATCAGGTCGGACATTATCTGTAGTTTCCCTTTCACTCGTGTAGCACACAACAAGAGACATCTGTGTCAGAAGCATTCTCACTAATGGAAATAATCTGGTTTAGGTGAGGAATGGCGTCTGGTTAGAGCGTGCAGGAGGCAGGACATGACGCAGACTTCACCGCAGTCACATAGACAGTTCGTAATTTGGTTATAAACAACAGTCTCTTGCCATTCCTTAAATTTGTCTGACGATTTCCACGACGGCCCTTACTGACAGAAGTTTCCAAATCTTGACATCTCTTCAGTTAGACATTTTCAATGCCATCTTAGTGGAAATGACCAAACAACCCTTGTTCTCTACCCGCAGTTGTTTGTTTTCTTCAGGGTTTGCGTGAGCCACATGATAAAAACATCATCCATATGCCCCCTCTCTTGCTGTGAATTCTCCAGACAACAGAAGTTAGCCCTAAAATCTGGAACTGAGTTAGCATTTTAGCACTCCTGGTTCCCTCGTCTGAAAGTCAGTGGGTTTTTTAATGTGTTTTTGGTTAGATGTCTGAAATAAGGTCTGTGGTGACACAAGCTTAAGAGACTTTCACGTTTTGTTCTACGACATAAAATAAGTCAGTATGTACCCCAGTTGTTTATTTTGAAGTTTGTCTTGAAAAAATCAGGTGCTAAGAAGTTGCTAAATGAAACTACAGAACATCATCACGCCGACTGTGGCTTTACAGCCTACTTGTGGTCGCGACTTTAAACCATGCAACCATAGCATAGTTTGTTTATATTTGTTTATGCATTTTACTTTTGATGATTGCACTTTGGCTTCATAAATAATAAAAGTGGTGTTTATTTTTGCACAGTATCCTGAACAGAATGTGTAAGTATCATAAATGTTTGTTTGCCACAGAGCTTATTTTCTGCAATAATCCAAAATCCAGTGGAAAAATCCCATTGGCTTTTTGACAAGGAAACCAGGATGATGCTAATTTCCATTTTGGCCGACGGAGAAAAGTCGTCCCAGGAGCACTCTAATGCCTGCCCTATTCACATGGGCTCAGTCAGATATTACACAGTCTTGTACTCGTGAGATGTGACATTTGTGTTCTCACATACAGCTCCTCTGGGTAATGTCTAGGTAATTTCAGGTTTGCAGTGCATGTGTGAAAGGGGCTTTAGACACACACAAAGAAGAGGTTTGACTAGATGGAGAGGCAGCCTGGTCTCACAGAGAAATGAACACAACCTCTTATTACCACTTTACCTGGTGGTGGCATGTAATGTGTTAAAATTACAGGCATGGAAACAAGCATGGAAAAAATGTCAATGGAAAGTCAATTAGGATCCTTTGTTGTGGTGGACACATGAGTTCCCTGGACATTGTCACGGATGGCATAAAGGGTGACAGGGGGTCTGGTATTGATTAGACAGGTCAAACAAACACAGGACTTTCACACAGGAGACCACTGTTTCTGTCCCTTGTGATACCAAAACTCAATGTTGGGTATTTAAACATTACGTACTTGTGTATCTTTACCTAACTATGTCACTTTACGGTCCGCACATACTTGTTTTACTGAAACCTAGATCTTTCCCTAACCCTAACCAAACTGCAACAGATTCACAATTTTAACAATGTGTTCAAACCGCGAACATGATTGACTTTGCATAAGCGTTGTTTCTGTGGTGCTGGCACGTAATTTTAACACAGTAATGCAGTGATGGTTGAGGTGATGGAAGAGGCTGTTGTCATTTCACATATTTTTTGTGACAGGAGAAATTTGAATTTCATTTATTGTCAAAGAAGTAAAGAGCCATTGCGAGATGAATATATAAATGTACAGTATCAATCTCACTCATCTTGAAGCTTTATAATGTTCTCATAAAGAGAAAAAAATCTGCCATCAGCAGACTTCCTAACGTCAATTACACATTTATAAACGGCATGTTGCATTGTGGGACTGTTAGCTGAAAGTAGTGTTACATGGTGTGGACTGGATGTTGAGGTCACCAACACAGTCAACACATGATACAATATTATTAGGATTTTACATATGTTGCAATATGCCGAGTATTGCGATTAAATATGGTGCAATTTATTATCTTTTTTCAACTGTAAATTATGTCCCCAAATCAAAACTTTTTTAGCATCTGTTTTATCTGGTAAGATAAAGTTTCCAGTCTGTTTATCTCATTTCACTCATTTTTTTGCAGCAGGAAAAAAAACACGTTTCTAGTGGACTGAAAAAGCAATCGATTATATTATTCTAGTGAGCTACCTAAAGTTCAATCTGTACTTGTATTATTGATCATTTATATAATAAAAAAATCAATACTTGTGAAGATACCGTGTGAAGATACGATGTTTCCACACAATCAAAGTTTTCCCCACCCCTGCCACACAGCGGATAAAATTCACTCTCAGAATTCCCAAATAATAAATCCAAATAAAAGAATAGTTAAAAATGTATAAATATAGTGCACGAGACATTAAACCTGTGTAGACAGGTGACCCTAATATTTCTCCAATTTAAAAATATTTCAATGAACAATTATCCGCTGAGGGAATGTTTGTTTTCATTGTGACTTGAAGAGCTGACCGACTTAAACGCTTGATTAAGTTCAGAAGAACAAAGATGAGCAGCCTCCACTGTGATGGAGGTCAGTGTGATAGTGACCTGTGGGGTTAAAGGTCAAGATTTTAGAGGACTGTGAGGTAGCGTGGGCAATAATCCAAACTATTCTTCTAGTGTTAGGTCTTTTTTTCTAATGTTCTTTCTAATGTGTGTGCTGGACTTTGTTTTTTATTTTTGATAGTTTCCTTCATCTTGACTTCATCTGTGTTTCCAAAGTTTCAACACTGAAGCAGCAGTTAAGATCATTTCTGTTCAGTAAAGTTATTTTTCTTGTTTTTATGACCGCACCTACAGAGACACAATACATTCACTTGAGAAATAAAATATTTGCCACGTGTAACTGAATTAATTATTATCTCAGAAATATGAGAGACCTTTTTAAGGAAAAAAATCTGATTTTTTTTTCTGATTTTTTAAAAGGTTTTTCATTTTCTAGTTTATTTCCCGCTGAATTAACAAAAGTATTATCTCTTAAATTCATTCAAGAATTTTATCACTTCAGATAAATAGTAGGTGATTTTTTCTTTTCTCAAGTGAATGCATTTTTCTTTTGAATGCACCTAAATGGGGTACTCTGGAAAATATTGGAATCATTAATGGTCTGTGTAATGCTTATGAGTTAAATTTTCCATGTAAAAATAAAATAAAAAAATCCATATTGGGAAGCATGTCGGATCAATGAAAAATTAAGACTTTCTTTGTTTGTTTGTTTCCCTGTTTTCCATCTTTGGAGTGCTGGACTGAAAAACTAGAATAAAGAAACAAATATATTTATATAAATATAAACTGAATTATTATTATTTTATTTCTTTTTCTTGTTTTTTCCCTGAATCAACAATGATTGTATTTTGTTAATTCAGAAAACAAGAGCAGAACTTGTTTTTCTATTAAAGTAAATGCAATTATTTTCTGAATGCATGTGAATGAAGTGCTCTGGAAGATTTTCCAATCATTCATGGTCTGTGTCGCACTCATGAGTTTAATTTTCAATGTAAGAAAAATTCAATAATTGAAAAACATGCCAGATTGTTTGTTTGTTTTCGAGCTTTGAACTGAAAAACCAGAAAAAAAGAATAAAGAATGAAATATGAAAGAGCGCATTTAAAATCTTAAGTTTACATTCATCTGTGCTGCTGAAGGTGTTTTACAGACAGCTGTCAGTAATTAGTTACAGTTAGTCTGTGTTTTGTTTTTTAAACTGAACTCTTTTGTTTTCTTATGTGAAGGACTGAACTATCATCCTGCACAAACATACGCTGCAAAATAAAGTTTGATGTGATTCAACTGTTCGACCAGTGAATTCTTTCCAGTTTGGGCTTCAGTTAAACAGCAGTTTGTTTTCAGGCAGAGAATCAGCCACAGCTGATTCACCTGTGGAGTGATCTGAGGCTCAGAGACACACCTGCAGGTCGTCACGAATCAGCTCTCCTCTCCACACATCTCCTACCACACATACCCAAAGCTGAATTCTATTTATTGTCAAAATAGTAAGTAGCACACAAATACAATACACCGTAAAACTATGATTAAAAAGCCCAGTCCAGATGTAAACACCCATGATGTATTGTAATGTAATGTATGTGGCTGCCCACCTGAGCTAATGTTGGCTAGCTGTTTAAATGGCACATACAGATGTAACCATGAGCACCACAGTCGATTGTAATTCATTCAGCTGCATCGGCATGATAAACACAAAAGACCAAAATAAAGATGGCGACCCCCTCCTTTACCTCTAAAGCCATCATAAAGTCACAAGATATGTCTATGCCTTGAATCAATCAATCAATTTTATT